CCCCCCCGAGTTACAGCCCCAGTTGGTTTACACCTTCAGAATGTTTGCATAGGTGTCATTTTTTGTTTTAAACACTAAAGAGTAGTTGTAAGACTGGGCGTGGTGGCAGGTGCCTGTAATCAATCCCAGTGCTTGGGAGGCTGGAAACAGGAGGATCACTACAAGTCCGATCTGTGTAGTGAGACCCTGCAGACCCTGTACTAAATACATTTAAAAAATAAAACAAATAAAAAAATAAAAAAGAGTAGTTATAGATGTTAGGCTCTTTTCAAATTTATTTTCCTTAAGTATCTCATATATAATTATATATAGTTGCTTTTGCTAAACTTATTTCTCCTTCTTAAATTCTATACTATGAGTTCATTCATGTACAGTTAGGGAGTCCAACAGCCTGGCTCCTGCTGGAGGTTGCTGCCACCTCCCATCTTTTCTCCAGTCTGTGAATCTTTTAGGGATTCTCCTCTACATGGGTTTTGGGGCCTCTCTGGGAGCGGATGTGTGCGATGAGATGGTTGTGAACAGATGGGATGGCGGGAACTTGGAATCACAGCTATTCAGGATGCTGAGGTGGGAGGATCCCTTGAGCTCATGAATTTGAGCCCACACTGGGCAGTAGACCCCATTTCCCAAAGAGACACGAATGACAAACAGGGTTCAAGTTTACAAGTAAAATTTCCCCAAGAATGCGGGGAAGAGCAGTGAAGTAGAGAGATAGCAAGGACAAAGGTCAAGGGAAAGGGGAGATGTTGTGGCTACTTTGTTTTTTCTAAAGGACACAGTGGACTTTTTTTTTTTTTTTTTTTAACTTTTGGTACCAAGGGTTTGAACTCGGGGTCTTGTGTTTGCTAGGCAAGTGCTTATGCCACTGAGCTCTACCCCGGCCTTAAAAGGGCACAGTGGTTTGATATTTTTTTTTTCCTTGTTTTGTTTTGTTTATTTTTTCTCTCTTTGAGACAAAGTTTCTCTGTAGTAGCCCAGTCTGGCCTCACAATCAGATGATCTCCTGCCTCAGCCTCCCAAGTGCTGGGATGGCATGTGTGCAGACCTGTGTGTGTGTGTGTGTTTTAATTGTACCACAATGATTATGACGAGGCCACACATGATAATGAGTTGCTTCTTTTTTTTTTTTGGTGGAACTCAGGCCCTTGCACTTGCCAGACAAGCATTTATCCTACTGTGCTATCTTCCCAGCCCCATGAGTTTCAAATCATGCGAGAAGCATGGTGCTTATATATTCAAGCTTAAATGTCCAAGAAGCAGCAAATTTCTACAATAAAACTGGGATAGGTTTTCTTCATGAGCTATGTTTTTAGGCAATAAGGGAAAGTTACTTTGTAGAGAATAATGTACTTGGACATACACTATGTACCTCCAAGGCACGCCATGTTAAACCTGGCTCTAAGGACAAAGGCTTGACCAAAGATCAAAAGTGATAATTTGATCCTAAAATTTTAACCCATATGAAATTACTTTTTAGTAGTAACTGTACAGATTAGTAATTATTTCTTTCTTTCTTTTTTTTAGTAATTATTTCAATAACATATTTTTTTCTTATGATTTTCTGCAGACTGACCAAAGGGGTGTTTGTTTGAGACAGTTTCACTATGTAGTGTAGTCCAGGCTGGCCTTGAACTAAACTAGTCTAAGCTGGGTCTCAAACTCTGAGGTGATCTTCTGCCTCAGCCTCCTAAGAGCTGGGATTACAGGCATGTACCACCACAGCTGGCTTAAAGGGTATATTTTTAAAAATAATGTCAGAGCCAGGTGTGGGGATGCACACCTGTTAACACCAGCACTGAAGGTTAAGGCTGGAGGGTTCCAAGTTTGAGTCCAGCCTGGCAGTTCAGTGACTTAGCAAAACCTTGTCTTAAAATATTTAAAAGAATTTTTTTTTTTTTTTTTTTTTTGCAGGGCTGGGTTGTTGTGAGATCTCCCTCCCTGACTTTAAATAAATAATGTTCATTATGGAATATATCATGAAAATGGTCATACAAGTGTATAAGTTGCCTACATTTGTAAAGTGAATACTGTACTTGTGAAACAATCCCCACTAAGAAATAGAACACTGTTAGGTTCCCAGAAGCCTCATTGATAACACTCATCCTGACTTGTGGTAATAATGTTTTACTCACTGGTAGGTATATTTTCCAGTAATAAAGTTTTGAAAAGAAAATTGTAAAGTTTTGCCATAGGAATGAAATAAAGCTCTGCCACTGAGCTTTTTAAGTATCTATGAAGGAGCACTAAATGTTGCTAGGTATTGTCATAAAGCCAGGTATTGCTATGCCACATCTATGCAAACAGTATAGGTCCCACGACTGACATATATATCATAAGAATCACAAGGTTTCCAGCACCTAGGAGACTGAGACAGGAAGATTGTCATGAATTCAAGGCCAGCCTGGGCTACACTGTGAGGCCATGTCTATCTATCTATCTATCTATCTATCTATCTATCTATCTATTTAATCAAGTTTTATTTTTTTGTTGATGTTCTATCTTGTTTGAAATACATTGTAATTGGGGCTGGTGAGATGGCTCAGTGGTCTAAAGCACCTATTTGGAACAGGCTTGGCAAAGCACAGGGACTGCGGTTCAACCCCCCAGCACCACAAGCCAGCCAGCCCCGCCCCCTGGTGGGCTGAGCTGGCTACACACACACACACACACACACACACACACACACACACACATAAATAAATAAAAATTTAAAAAAATATATATTGTAATATATTGTTCACTACTAGTGCCTGGAGCAGGGCTCAGCTTGGAAGAGTTAGTGAATTTGTGCTGAGTAAATGGTTATGAGATTACAGGTCCTATGTCACTTTTTTTGTCGTTTTGAGACAGGGTCTTGCTGTCCAGTTCAAGCTGGCCTTGAGCTCACTTTGTACCAGGCTGGCCTCCAGACTGCTGGGATTACATGTGCACACCCCCAAGGCCAGCACAATATTGAATACTTTTAAACTTGGTGTCTTGAAGTGCTGTATAGCTTTGCTTTTCAGGAGTAGCTTCATTTTTATTTTTATTTTATTGCAGAGCCAGGGATTGAACTCAGGCCCTTGCGCTCGCCAGGCATGCACTTATTCAACTGATTTATCTCCCCAGCCACGCCCCCCCTTTTATTTTTAGATGGGCCTCATGAGGTAGTGCAGCCTGGTCTTGGACTCTCAGCGACCCTCCTGCCTCTTCCTTCTGGGTGCTGGGGGTATAAGTGTGGCTTCTCTTTATGACGATGGCACACAGCAGACCCACAAGCTGATGGTAACCCAGCAGTGCCACTTTCTAAGCCATTAGAGCACTGTTTTCCTTCATTGGCAGAACGGTGGGGCTCTTTTCTCAACAGTACGTTTGCACAGTGGTTGCTCACACTGCCACATAGCTATCAGCCTTTGGCAGAAACTTGGTCTTTCTGTCTCCCTGTCTGCCTTTCTCTCCGTTTCTCTCTCTCTCTCTCTCTCTCTCTCTCTCTCTCTCTCTCTCTCTCTCTCTCTCTCTCTCTGTCTCTCTCTGTCTCTCTCTGTCTCTCTTTCTCTCTCTCCTCCTCTCCCTCCCTCCCTCTCAGCGCTCTATGTAGTTCAGGCTTGTCTAGAACTGTTGGTGAACCTCCAGCCTCAGCCTCCCTCCCAAATACTGGGCCTACAGATGTGCACTACTATGCCTGGTTGAAATTTGGTATTTTTGGGCCGGGGAGATGACTCAGTAGGATAAGCGCTTGACTGGCAAACACAAGGATCTGAGTTCAATCCCTGGTTCCGCAAAAAAAAGAAAAGAAATTTGGTATTTTTGCCTTATCTCTTTGGGCCTTACCAGGGCCTGCCTGGTTTTCTCGATACTTAGAAAGTGTTTGAAGAAACGGTGTTATCTCAGAATGTACTATGGCCTTAACTACCTGCCACTAATAGCCCCTGGGGTCATGACTACCAAGGAATGATTAATTCCAACCACAGTTGACAATATATCACCACCCTCTCTGAAGGGTTGTGCTTGTATAGCAGGAATGACAGTAAACACTCACATAGATGGTTTCTTTAATAGTCTCATCTGATGTGATTGTGTGTCAAGACGAAGCATAGAGGCTGGTGAGATGGCTCAGTGGTCTAAAGAACCTACTTAGAGCAAGCTTAGCAAAGCACAGGGACCGCATTTCAATCCCCCAGCACCACATGCCAGCCAGCCCCGCCCCCTGGTGGGCTGAGCTGGCCACACACACACACACACACTAAATAAATAAATAAAATTAAAAAAAAAAAAAAAAGACAGAGCATAAATCAAACTAAAGCACCCAAAAATCTTCAGATTTTCTTGCTTTGGGTTGGCGATATGGCTCAGTGATAGAGCTCTTGTGTAGCATGCTCAGGGTTCTGGGTTCAATCCCCAGAACCTAAATACCTCTTTTTATTTTTTGTATTTTGAGATGGGGTCTTACTGTGTAGCCCAAGCTGGCCTCAATCACTTAGCAGTCCTCCTACCTCAGCCTTCTGAGTGCTGGGACTATAGGCATGTACCAACACACCCACCTTGCACTTTTACACATCAAAAAAGCCATTCCTCTGTGTCAAGGTTCTACCTCGTCCCCATCAGCTGTGTTTGTCTTTGGTGCCCCTTATGTCTGCATGAATCAGACATGAACCTACGTGCTCGTTACCATGG